CCGCTCCTCCTGAGCAGAGCAGAGTCTCCGCTCCCTCCCGAGGGCCGAGTGCAGCGCTGCTCCCGTTCCCCGGGTCCCCTCAGCACCCGGTGGGACCACACATCTCTTGCTTTCTTCCAGCGACCTTATGCGACCTTGACAGCTCGGTGCGATCCCGTACAGTATGGGGAAGCGCCTCAGGTTCCAGCAGGAATTACTGAAAACCCCAAGCCCTTCGTGCCTTAGTGAATACGAGACCTTCTGATCAATGAGGCAAGCGGCAACACACCCGGGCTGGGGCAGCGGCACCGCCGCCCTTCTCCCAGCGCGGCTCGCCGCATCGGGCTCCTCTGCCTCCGAGCCAGCGGGGCAACAGCGCGCTGGGAGCCCCGGCTCTCGGGGACACGCACCGCGGCTCCCTCGGCCGCGGCAGGAACCGGGCGGACGCTTCTCCGGCCCAGCAGGTCAGCGGCGCTGTCCGAGGAGCCGGGGCACGGCCCCGCCCAAGCCCAGGTGTTCCGCCGTGCCCCGCCCGGCCCCGCCGCTCTCCCCCCGCGCTGCCGCTGCCGCGGGGCGGGGCCGCTCCGGGTTGGCGGCGGCCGCGGGGCGGGGCCATGAGGCGCGCTCCCATTGGCCGGCGCGCGCCGCCTGTCGCGCGGGGATTGGCCGGGCGCTCCCCGCGGGGGCGGGGCGCGCGGCGGCGCGGGGGGGGGCGTTAAAGGCGCCGCGTCGGGCGGGCGGAGCGGCGCGGCCATGGCGTACCAGGGCTTCGCGCAGGAGTACCTGGGCATGCCGGCCGTGACCCGCGCCTACACCACCGCCTGCGTGCTCACCACCGCCGCCGTGGTGAGCGGGGGCCGCCGGGGGGCGGGGGGCCGCGGGCGGGGCGGGGCTGGCCGAGGGCAGCGGGTGACGGCAGCTGCCCTGCCTGTCTCCCACAGCAGCTGGAGTTCATCACCCCCTTCCAGCTGTACTTCAACCCCGACCTCATCTTCAGGAAGTTCCAGGTGAGGCCTCGCTCGGGCTCGGGGCCCGTTGCGCCCCTTGCCGCCGGGGTGGCTGTGACCGCGCGGGCCCCGCGTGTCCGCCCCGCAGGCTGGCCGGGCGCTGCTGTGTCATCCCGAGGGGCTCCCGTCCGCTGCTCCAGCCCGCCCAGCCGCACAGCGTCCCTTCCCGTCACGGGCACCTGCGTGGGGACAGCTCCTTCCAGCCTTTCCCCCCACACACCACCTTGGCTTTCCCTTGACTCAAAGCCATCCCTTCCTCCTCTGCTACACCGAGTGTGGCAGCTGCTCTTGGGCTGGTTGGAGACGGCTTTATTGTAGAGAGGCGTGAAAAGTAATTGATTTGGCTCTGGGTGCTGAATTGTGGCTGTTTGACCTCTCTAGAAAAGTAGAGAAATCTTCTTTTCCATACCTGGAAAGGTGAGACACTCCCGAATGTACCAGGGTATCATGTAAGGAGGTCCCACTAGAGGGTGGAGCAGCTGCCTGGTGTCCTGGGGTAGTTCTGAAGGGACAGGTGGATGACTGAACATTCATCTCCCGTGGACACTGTGATGGGCTGCTCTACATGTGATGAGGAGATACCTCTGTCCACCTCCTTTTCTCTTCTCTCTCTTCTCTTTCAGATATGGAGGCTGATCACCAACTTCCTCTTTTTTGGGCCCCTGGGATTCAGTTTCTTTTTCAACATGATATTTCTGTATCCTTTGGTCTCAGTGACGTTCTCTGCTCCCATTTTGGCTTAAATGCAACTCTCCCCATCCACCTTCCTCCCCAGCATGGCTTGCCTTGGCAGCACTCTTGGGCTGTGGGTTCTTCCCTTGGCTCTTTTGAATTGAAGCCATGACCCTCCTGCCCCTCTATCTGTGCTTGCTGCAGGGCAGACCCTGCCTAAAGGGAGGCTGGCAGTGCTGCTGCTGTGGCTCTTGCTGGAGAGCAGTGCCCATTCCTGGGCTGAGCTCTGGCTGAAGCATGGCAGGTGCCTCTCTGTCCATGGGGTCAGTGGTGTGAGGTGCAGTTTGCACTGTTCTGCTCTGGGCTGAGCTTGCAGCAGCTTGTTCCTGGGAAGTCCTGCTGCGGGCACAGGGTGACCAGCTGTTAATTTCCTATACTGCAACCCCTCCCTTCTCTCCTGCTCTCAGGTACAGGTACTGCCGCATGCTAGAAGAAGGCTCCTTCCGTGGAAGGACGGCTGACTTTGTCTTCATGTTCCTCTTTGGAGGGTTTCTCATGACAGTATCCTTTTGAGCTGGTTGGGGCTTGTTGGTGTCTCTGAGATGCTGTGGGTAGTGTAGGGCTTGTCTGCTAGCTCTGTGTCCCGGCTGTGCTGTGGAGCAGGGACCTGCCTGCTGAGCAGCACAGCTGCTTCATGAACCTTCTTGGTGCCTCAGGGCAGAGGGCCTTGTGCCCTGAGAGCTGGGAGAGCTCTGCTGAGCGTGTGGCACAGGGGCAGCTTCTGGCTGGATGGCACAGCTTGTGCCCCTTGTCTTTCCCACCCTTGGCTTGGCCAGTGCCTCATCCAGTGTGCTTAGAGAGAAAAGCTGCCTGTGGCTGTGCTGCTGTCTGCAGAAGTGCTGAAGCCCCTGGCAAGGGGCTGGGCTGCCTCATCCCTGAAGAAAACACGTGGCAGAGTGCTTGGGAGGCTCAGCCCGAAAGGAGGCCACGTGTTCTGCTGCAAGAACCTGTCCAGCTGTGCCAGGGCCACTGCCTGAGCTCTGGTGAGTGCAGCGTGGCTGTGATTGCGTGAGGCTGGCTCAGGACAAAGGCAGGAACACGGAGCAATGAGGACAAGCAGTGGGTTCCCACACACTCGGCATGTGTGAGCCCAGAGCTTGCAGCCTGACAGTAGCTGGAGGTACCATCACACAGCTTAAGTTCTTTTCACAACACAGTAATCTGTTAGTGAAATTTATTTCCCTCCCAAGCATAAAGCTCTGAATATCTTCTGCTGTCCTCTGCAGATGGCTCAGAGCACTGCTGTCCCCATGGAGCTCTGCATGAAGCTGTGTGAGCCATTAGAATCCAGGTGGCTGCAGCAGCCACGTGCTTGACCAGACGTGGATTTGGAGTCCAACTACAACAAGAGCAGGGAAAATTTTTGCCTCTCTGTCTCCTTGTGCTCTGAAGAAGAGGACTGTGAATTCCAAGAGCCATCTCACTGCTGAACTTCTGTAGAAGGCTGATACTGGATGTGAGCTACTTGTTAAGATATGCCACTGTCCTAAGTGTTGTAAGACTGGGAAAGCCCTTCTTTGAAGGCCATTTTGATGTTCATTTTGCAAAGGTGACTGTAGAGCACTCTGATCTCTGGTGATTGTTGACATCAGCTTAAGGAGTGAACAACCTGCTTGTGCACTCCAGAGTGTCTTGTTCTGGAGTGGCACAAAGGGAGATGTGTGTGGGGACAGTGGTGGTCAGTATATCTCAGCCAGGAAAGGTTTGGTGACATGGGCAGTGTCTGGGAACGCTGCGATCACGTCTCTACTTTGGGTTTCCCGTCCCAAAGCACACTGTGCTGCCTGGAGGTGTGCACAGGTGGGTAGGATTTTCCTTGACTCGGTAGTTCCCAGCTGTTTGGACTCTTTGCCAGCCTGTTTTTCCTGGGCCAGGCTTTCACCATCATGCTGGTGTACGTGTGGAGTCGCAGGAACCCTTATATCCGCATGAACTTCTTTGGGCTTCTTAACTTCCAAGCCCCCTTCCTGCCCTGGGTCCTGATGGGATTCTCTCTGCTCCTAGGCAACTCCATCATCATTGATCTGCTGGGTAAGTCAAAGCTGGTGGGTGATGGGAACAAGGACACCTTGCAGCCACAGCGCTCAGTCCTCATGGGTGCTACTGGCACCTTCTCTTGGTTCCAGCTGACCTAAGATGTTGGGTTTCCTAAGTGAGCTGCCTGGGTTTCTGGGTGGCTGGGCTCGGGCCTGGGCTTTAGCTTGTGACCTGCTTTTTGGTGTGTGTGTCCTGGGGCAGAAGCTGGGTATGGTGAGCTCTGACACTGCTGTGTCTGGTCTCCTGGGTGTACAATGCTGCCCTCAGGCTAATGGGCTCCCTGCATGCTGATCACAGCACCTGCAGCATCCCTGGCTCTGGAGGGAGCTGGATTTGGGCACACAGCTGGGGTGTTCTTAGTTTTGCCCAGCAAAAACTCTGGTTCTGCTGGCAAAGGAGTCGCAGCTGTGCCTGACCTTGGTGGCATCTCTCCCCAGGGATTGCAGTGGGTCATATCTATTATTTCTTGGAAGACGTTTTCCCCAATCAGCCTGGAGGAAAGAAGTTGCTGTTAACTCCTAGCTTTCTGTAAGTAAAGTTGATTCTTTCTGGGCTTCACTGTGGGCTTTTCCAACCTAATCACTTCCATAGCAAACTGTGACCTAAGAGGCAACTGCCTGCTGACAGCACCTCAGCTCCACAGGTCATGGATTGCTGCATTGTTGGCACATTATATACAAGTGTACAGGGCCCATACAGCTGCTGCTGCTATCTTCAGCTTTGCTAGTAGAACTAGAGTGCTTACTGCTTGTGGAAATGCTAGATAGAGGCAGGATTTTTTCTGATGTATTTTCGTAGTTTAAGAAAGCAGAATATGTTCTGCTTTGTGCACTGACAATCAAATCTGACCTGCTGATCAAGGAAGGAGGTACTGTCATCACTGTGTGTTGAGCTGAGCAAAAGAGTGGTTGGTGATGGTGCAGTGGGCCAGTGGCTGACAGCCAAGCCCCACAGAGGGCCAGGGTGTTCTTAGGAGGGCTGGGGGTTTGTCGTCCTCGGCTCAGCTTCCTAACCTGCCTGCCTGCTGGGATGGGCATGTCCCTTGCCAGGAAGATGGTTTTTGACACACCTGAAGAGGATCCCAATTACAACCCTCTCCCTGAGGATCGTCCAGAACACCAGCCCAGAGACCAAGACCAGAACCAGCAGCAGCATCCACAGTAGTAGCATGGGGGACTTCTTCATGTGGCCAGATTCCTCCCTTCTGGCTGGACTTTGCTGTGGCCCAGAGATCCTACTGGAATAACACCAGTTGCCATTCCGATGTGTAGTGTGTTGCTGTTTGTGTGGGTAACCCATCTTCCCCTTGTACAAAGTGGATCCACAGAGCTTTGCACACAAGAACTCCTGAATGGTTACAGAGGTGTTCTAGGGACAGGGCTGAAGCTGTGATGGCTCCTCAGTTCCCTGGTGTGGAATAAGTATCAAATGGGGTGTTAAACCAGTTCCTCCTTCTGCTGTCAATGACTTGCTGTGTGCCAGGTCACTCTTGCCCTCTGCACAAAGATGCACCTGGCCCTCACTCTCGTGAGACCTCTTTGTGGGCTTTCAATGAAGTAGTTCTGTACCATGGTAGAATGCAGCTCAGCCTCTTTCTTTCCTTTTTGTCCTCCACTCCTTTTCTGGTGGTTGTTTCCAAAGAGTCTTTACATTAAAGTCTTTATTTTTCAGTTGTGTGTCCATTTCTGCCAGGGGCAGAGGCAGCAATTAATCAGGAATTTGCTCAAAACGGCCAGGTTTGGGATTTTTCTTTTCTGGTGGGCAAGGCAAAGCTCAGGCCAGCTGGAAGATGTCTTTCCCTCTTCTCTCAGCAGGGCTGCAGAGCATGAGGAGTGTGGGGGGATGTCTAATTGGATAAAGGGGTGCCTGGGACAGGACAAAGGGACTGAGCTGTTCACTTGATCCAGGCAGTGGCTGGAGGCAGCACTTGACACTGGCAATAAAGACTGTCTGCACCTGCAGTGTAATTCCACTCTTGTTGAATTTTTTAGTTCTGAAACTTAAACATCTGAGTTTCAGGTGGAAATGAAATAAACTCGTCCCTACCCTGACACCTGTATGAAATGGATCTTGTTAACACAGTACCCACTGTCCTTGTACCCGACCTCAGAGCAGTCTGCACACGTTGTATCTTACAGCAGCTCACTCCTAACAGTGCTGGCTGCTCAGACCTGCAAACCACCCCACACTATGAAATGGGATTAACAAACATCTGATTGAGCACACACACAAACCCACACACACCAGCTCCCCCTCTCCTGTGGACTTGCAGTCAAACACTATCAAAAACCAGACCTGATTTGCACTTATGTTTCCCTCTGCCAAGAGGATGAGAGGCCTGCACTGGTGGTAATTTATTTTAGAAGATGCAGTGGTACTAAGGGCTAATGATTACAGAGCTGTGGTCTCAGTCCCTAGAAGGAGTTTGTCTTTGACGTCTCCAGATGTTCTGTTGTAAATTGCCTGAGATTGAGTCTTTGAACTGTAAAAGTTGGGCTATGCTTTTAGGTGAGGTACCAGATTAACCCAAGAATTCTAACTGTACAGCAAGAAAGCTGCTCCTGGCTGTTCCCAGTAGTTCTAATGCTACATAAAGAAAGCTGGCTGAAGTTCCCATCTTTCTGGACTTGGTCCCTTGACTGTCCTGCTTTGTCCCTGGCTGCTTTGAGGGGCAAATTTGTACAGCCTCTCTGGCCTTGAGAAGCAGAGAGGTGCTGCAGTCCTTGTGCCTGCACCTCATTGTGAATTTGAGGATTGGTAATCTCAAACTTCACAGCAATTAAAAAAACTGCACCACAGATGCTAATTTAAGGCTACAGCAGTTTCACATGTATTTTAATTGAATTCCCTGAAGAGGCTGCTGGCCGAAGTCCCCAGTCATGTAACAACGGAAGGCTGAAGTGTTCTCAAGAAGGCTTGGAGTTTTATGTCCATGAGCCAAAACATGTTTTACATGGGAGGCTAAGATGCAGCAGCAATCCCAGGGTTTGTCTTATTTGCTCAAATAACCTTTCAACCTCTCTAATACGAAGTAATGCGTGGAGTACCACTCTGGCACAGGAACCTAGGATAAGACTGAATAATATTATTACTAAATTGCAAGTTTTCAGTTTCTGCAGACTAACATCTGGAAAAAGTTCCCTCCCACCCAAGAATCAGAACTGTCTCTGTTATTACTCAAGTCTAAACATGATAAATTAAGGCCAGAAAGTGTTTTTTGACTGTGCTAGCAGGGTGGGTGGATCAGCAAGGATCATAAAACCTATGGCTTTATCATAAAGGCCTGAACGTAACTGTCAGGCTGCCAGCAAAATCTGCCTTGCTTGCAACACTCATCAGTTTTCTGGCAGTGAATGGTAGGAACTCTATCAAAGAGATGGAGTACCTCAAGAGCAAGATAGAGTCTAATTAGTTTGTACGCAGGCTTGGGACTTTTCTTTAAATCTCACTTCAATGGATTTTGGTTTTAAACTCCCTAGAGAAAGACAGGTTGCTTCTTGGGTTGCAAAATCCTAACACTGCAATGCTAAGGACATTCATGACACCCACTTTGCTTTGAGTGCTCTGTGCACTGCAGCTGGCAGTGTTGTGTGCTCAGTGACCACAGCAAGGGCACTGGCTGCAGAAAAGCTTCAGTCTCGGTGACTGGAGGCCTTACCTGCTGTACCAGTGCAGAGACTGTGCTGTTTTCCAGGTGCAGTCTTCACAGAAAAGAGGGTTGACCACACACCAGGCTGACATCTGATAAAAATTACTCTTAAGTCTGTGATTTCAGTTAATCTGTTCTACCTTGTTGAGTAAACCAGCTGAACATCTCCCCGAGGTCATTACAGACTGTGCCAAGTCTGGTAGCAGACCAATCCTTAGAGTGTTTGCTGCTTCTAGTTCTCAATCTTTCTCACTTTCCCTTGCACCAAAAGGTTTTGGGCTGTTGTACCTGTTGAAGTAAAGCACCCAGGAAAACTGAATGCATGTGAGTGTTCATCACTATACCCAAAAGCATAGTGCTGGGACTGCTCAGTTACCAGAACAGCAAAAAACATGGTGAGATTCACTGATCATGCAAACTTACTGAACTCAACCTACATTGTATGCATTCCTTTTATTTAAAAAGTTGTCCTAGGAGTGCACGTTGCACCTATAGAAAAGAATCTTTACACTGTCCACACACAGGTATATAAGGGCTCCAGCACCTGCCACAGGTCTCAGCTAGGTCACGCTGCTCACACAGCGCTCTCGGGACGTGGCACTGGGGTGGAGGGGGTGGGGGCAGAGTCAGCAGTACTGGGAACTCATGGCAAGTGGAATGTGTGTCCCCTTCAGAGACAGAAAGACCCCTGCCAATTCTAGATCCATTTTGGGGGGAGGAATAGGGATAAAGTCTGTAGGAAGAGCACCAGTGTCACAACAGGAAGGTTACCAGGCTGGAGCAGTATTGGCCAAACGTCTCATGCGCCTAAGGGAGAGAGAGAGAGCCACAGTGAGTGCATGTTACACACATGGGAGGTCTGACCAAAACCAAAGCTTCTGGGGAGGCTGCCACAGCTTTGTCAACTTTGTAGACAGGTTTACTCCTAGCCAGAGCTCCTCAGTCACCTGAGAGTGCCCCTGTTGATAAAGCAAAGACACTGTTTTCACTAACAGCTGTTGGGGCATTTTTTGTCATTAACTTGGATTGAACAGACTGTTACTGTAAACTCTTCAGTCAGCCATAGCTGATATACAAAATGACTGTGCTACTGTTAATCAGAAGTTAAAGAAACATCCTGGGAAACAGCTGAGCCAGTATTATTTACTGTTCCCACAATGTATCTTTTGGAGAGATACTAGCTATCCTTCATATCTGCCAGGAAGAATTTCATCAAGTAGGTGCAAGCTCTCAACTGCTTGTCAGACATCACTTAGCAGGTCTCTGGTGGGCAGAGCTGCTCCTGGAACCACACGGTGCTCCTGTGCTGGCAAACAGGTTGGCATCACTCGGGCTAGAGCTGGGAGCTTGCCCATTGCTACATCACATTGAACTTTACACTACATAAAAGGAAGCTTTGTGCCAGAGGGAGCATGACAGTGCATGAAACTCCAATATGTTTGATTCATGCCTTCCTATACAAATAACTCCCCTAGACAAGCAAAGAGCCCAAGAAAAAGAAAAAAAAAAAAGGGTTAAAAAAGGGAAACTTCCTGCAAGCAGGAGATAGTAGAGCAAACATTGCAATGTCTGGGGAGGAAAGTGATGATAGCTGAATACCCTGAAGCTAAAGCTTGTTGTGAGCAAGGCTGACATCCTGACAGCTCTCAGCAGGGAAAGACAAACACCAGAGCTTGGAGCTTCTGTCAAGGGACAGGCCAAGAGAGCTGTCCAAAGTAGTGGCAGTACCTTGTGTTTCTGTCCTGGTCTCTGATCTTCTTCTCCATCTCAGCGTCTGTGAGGGTTTCCAGGAGAGGGCACCACTGGTCAGCGTCCCCCGTGTTGCGGATTGCGATCTCCACAGTGGGCAAAGGGTTCTCGCTGCAGGGCAGGGCACAGGGCAACAAAGCAACATCCATCAGTGGGCCCACAGCACTCCTCTGGGTCACCAGCCCAGGGACAAGCACAGGGACAACACAGCATCATTTACAGTGTCTCAAGCTTCAGCATTCCTTCTTCACTCTGCTTAGTACAGTGCAGGTCCCTGAAGTTCACCACAGGCTCCTGGTTACAACCCCTGTGGAACCTGAAGTTTCTGGGAAAGCAGCTACACCTATCTCCAGCCAGCAATGAAGGGGGATTTGTGCTGAACCTGCAATTCTTTTCCATGCAGGCTGTCACATCCCTGGCTGGCAAGGTTCAACCCCAAAAGGCACAGCTCCTCCCAGTCCATCGGTCCTGGGAGCATTTCTCCCAGGGCAGCCCAGGAGCTGGGACTGCTCCCAGGGCTCCCTGTTCAGCCTGGCTGTTCTGTTCCAGTCCTGTTCCAGGACTGTTCCCAGGGCTCCCAGTCCAGCCTGGCTGTTCTGTTCCAGTCCTGTTCCAGGACTGTTCCCAGGGCTCCCAGTCCAGCCTGGCTGTTCTGCAGCTCTCACTCCCTATCTGCAGTTTGCCTAGAACAACCCCTGACAGCTCTTCCCTAGCAAAAATCTCTTTCTTGGGAGCCTGACACTGGAAAGATCAGTCTTTTAGGATTTGCTGTGGCTAACAAGCAATGAAACACCAGGCTGTGCCCCAAATCACAAGATCTGTTCCTCAGAGATTCCTCTGCCCTGACCAGCTGTATTATCACATGCACAAAATATTTACTGCTTCACTAGCTGCTTTTCAGTAAAAGTCAACAGGAATTGACCAAGAGTAGCTTCCTAAATATTGACAGTGGAGCCGGAAGCCCAGCATAAATATAGAGGAGCCTCGGAATGTAAATGTTTGCTTTGAATTCTCAAAAGTGGCTCAGCCTGAGCTGCAGAAGTGTGTGTGTGAGAGGAGCCCTGGGACAGGTGTGCACACACATCCGGCCCCCTCCCCAGGGACGTGCACCCCTCCACAGGATTCCAGCACTCACAGGCAGCTCTCTCATTCCCTCAGGAAAGAACTCAAATGCTAATCATCATGGGAACACACAACATCTGCATCAAAGCTAATAACCTAAAATAACAAGTCTTCAAAGTAATGCTACCATGAAAAATTAATCCAGAGCCTTTGGTATCTGATCCAAGGAGGAAGCTTTAATCAAATGTACTTCTAGTACTGCTGACATCCACTAAACAACACTCAAACCCAGGAATTTCATCTTAGTCCCAGAATGCCACACATTCCAGGCAAAATTAGATATTAATTGGGGTTTTGTTAGTGATAGCATGATCTCTTCCTCACTATGCTTAACACTGAGCATTCACTGAATTAAATAGGGGATGGAAAGCTGGACTCATGCATAACCTAACTGCAAAGCAACTCAGATACCACATTTCTTTAGCAAAGAATCAGAGAGAAACTGAAAAATCCTTCCTCATCTCCCAACCTCTACAGTAAGACAGCTCCTCCTCTGCTGTTCTTTCCTGATGAGGAGCAAAGTGCTGCTGC